TGCCAAACTACCATGCCCAACAACTTTGAAATTATTGTGCAGATGCCTTACACAATGCCTATGTTCAGAATCTGGCTTGAAAGCCTCAATTGCTTGCCCCAGTCCTTTTTGTTTGTCAGTGATTAAAACCCATCCATTTCCAGTACCTTTTACCCCAACATCATTGAAGAATATATCTAAAAACCATGTCCAAGTGTCTTTGCTTTCTGTCTCCACAATAGCAAAAGCTATTAGGAACATGCCATTGTTGGCATCAATCCCAAAAGCACTTAAAAGTTGTCCTTTAATGAAAGCCCCATCAAAACCAACCATGGTTTTACATCCTTCAATAAATCCCTTCTTCAGTTGAGCGAAACATATATAAAGCCCCTAAAAAACTAGATCATCTCCTCGCAATGATGTCATCACTAAAACTGTGCTCCCTGCGTTTTTTCTCTTAAGCTCCCACAATAATCCCACAGTTTTTCCTCGTAAGTCAACTCAGAGAAGTTGAGTCAACCCACTACTTTGTTAAAAGGAACCTATGGATTGCACACCAAAAAATGTGATTAGAGGAAAGTGTAACACCCTGTCCCGACTAATTATTTTATTTTGTGAAGTTACATTTTTGCCCTTGGGGTAAGGGCTACTTTAGTCACTTTTTGTTTGGAACTAGTTTTGGTAGTCAGAGTTGTACCATTGCGTAGAGCTCACTCTCATGAGTTTGTAGACATGTGGTGGGCTCAAATCGGAGTTTTAACGAGGAAGTTGGGATCTACGGAAGTGCAGTGGATCAATCTTAATTTTGAAGAAGTCAAAATTTAAAAACCCCAGGTCAGACCATCCTACGCCTGCCTCTTTTAGTTCCCAAAGTCTGGTCAGTTTTATAATTCCCACATACCAAAGTCTTGACCAGCTCATGTTCTCTCCATTCCCCAAAGATTTCTTTCCTAAACTCATCATAGCTTCCAAACCCATCAGTTCTATTCCATGCTTCGAAACTGCTCTCTCCTGAACTCAAAACGAAATATCATCCTCTTCAAACTTGTTCATCTGGTTGTCTAGTAGAACATATCCGAAAATTATCGCAATCGAAGAAATATAAACACCTCAAAACCCAGTTTGAGGACAATTAGCTCATATTTGCCTGGTACTCTGTGTTATGCACGGATTTGTCTTTGCATGCTAGTTTCTATTGCGCATACCTCTATTCCTTCACAAATGTAGTTTATGAGGTTGAGAGCTACAATATATCCAAAATTCATGGCAATTGGAGATCTCTATCTACCTTAAATTGTCTTCAAGATGAGACTAGTTTTCTCGTACTTCCTATCTGCTGTTTCCACACTAGTTTGAATTTATTCACTCTTTAATGTAGCCTTCCTCTACTCTAATGGCATATCTACCTTCAAAAAAGTTGTTTATCTATGTTGTGACTATACTCTGTCAAAATGTAAGCTTCATCCAAGAAGTATATTCATCTCAAGACGTGTGTTAGTGTAACATGTTCATCCTTGTCTTCTCTGCTGATGCAGGCTCAGATTCTGTCTTGCATGTAGATTTCCCTTGCTCATATGAGAAAGATTCCTTAACGAAAGTTGTTGAGAATTAACGAAAGTTGTTGAGAATTATGTAATCTACAACATATCCAAAGTTCGTACTCATCCAACATGTTTAGCCCTCTTGGAAGTGGTACAAACTGAAACAAGCTTCTTTGTTTCCAAGTGCTGTTTTGGTGGTTGTTCTCCTTGGGAGATGAATTGAGGATTTCAGACCAATTCAGAGGAGTGAGGTAAATATTTAAGATGTTTGATTTCTGGAAATATATTTTAGAGGTTAAATTCTTGGGGTTTTGTGGATTGTTGAATTGTTCCAAAGTTAAGTAGAATTGTGAACTTATAGGAATGTCACGATCAAACCCGGGCAACCTTGTGGCTGCCTGTTAGTTCTAAAATACTCTCCACGTCGTCCCGAGACGACAATATGCCCGGATTAGGGTTTGGTTACTGTTTGACTATCAAACGGATATTGCTCCTATTATGCCATATCCGGGTTCGATTGGTTCCATTTTCAATTATGTTATTCCTCATACCTCTAGGATCCTGTAAGAACTTGTTGATCAAGAATCAGAGTCCTGGATACTCTGAACTTGTCATTTAGGGTTAGGCGAACCGATCGCCATCCTATTGTACATTGGCTTTGATCTGACCGCTCGATTGAAACCAAACCTTCGGGACTTGTTTAGTAGACTTTATTGGACCTATAGGAACTTTCGGATAAAAAATCGGAGGTTGTGGCCGAGTGGGCCCGGTTGACTAATATGGAAAGTTTGACCACTTGGTTGACCGTGAGTCTTCCGAAGTCGTCTCATCCTTCAAAAAGTACTAGGTTGGCCCTAGGAACTCCCTAAATGTCATGCACACACTTTGAGTCCTGAGATTTAGGATTTTGAGTGGAAGTTCATGGTTGGACACTTTTATTGATTAAGTCCTCATGTTCTTTCAAATAGGTACTCAGGCTCCACGTACTCAACAGGTGAGACCCTCGCCAGGTCATGCAGCTTTGGACTTTTATTGAGTGGACTTTGTTTTTTAAAAATGATCATTATTTTCAAATGATGGACTTACATGAGAAATTGATTATTTTGGTTATTGGTTTTATAATGCTTATGAGAGCTTGGTACCTATATTATATATAAAATTTATGGATATTGAGTTTTGGATAATGATGTTATCAGGATGTCTATGTATCTTAGTTTGGGTGAATTGGAACATTTGGATTTTAGATATGTTTTTGGTAATGGAATTGGGAAGTGGAATTTAGTATATTGGAGTTTAGATTGCACCATGATATGTACCACCCCTTGGATACTGATACTTGGATATGAATGTTACCCATATGTGCGATGTGTTGTCGGTGTATGGAAGGATATCGGACACCCTTGGTAGGGTGTGCCATAGGCCCTTGACGGGTAGTCTGCACACATAAGACTTGTTTCAGCCACAAGTACGATGTGTTGCCGACATGTGTGCTGCAGAGTAATAGTCTTCCGGTTGGACTGCTCAACCCTAGTCACGGGGTAATGTGATGCTATTCCATGCTCTAGCCAAACAATCTCCTGATTGGATTGTTTTCCCGGTACTTAATAATGGTGTAGTGAGTACGTATACGTATATATATATATATATGGAGTCATATATTTTTATACTTATATATTTATAAGGATCTTTCTTTGCATGTTGTGTTTTTACAAGCATATGTCTCGGAAAGAGGTTGGTTAAAGGGAAAAAGGTCCAGTTTGATCATTGTATTATATGTTATATCTGGTTTATAGGATTACAATGATTTCAAAATTCAAGTATACTATAATAATGGGTTTCATTGCATGGTTTTACATCGTTTTCTTAAAACATGGGGTTATTATGTTCAATTATTATTATGTTCAAACTTTCTTTTTGTCCACTCACAATTTTTGTTTTGCGCCCCCTATGCCGTAACTTGACATGAGCGCAACCAAGCCAAGTCTCTCTCTTCCCATGCATCGACTTCCTTGTCTATCTTCTTGTTTATTTCTTTTCGAAAACTACTTGGGTTGTGTAAAGTAAATAATATCTTAGATTGCTCTGATATTGCCCATGTAGGGTTGAATTTGAGGCTGGAGGCCTACGTTGTAAAATGTGTGCTTAGAATTGTGCGTGCAACCGTTTGAGATTTTTTATTGCTTCATTTGCAGGTGTTTGTAATTTGGGGAAAAGTTCATTTTTCAGGTGAGACTCTGCCTAAATTTCGGTAGAAGTCTCGACTCATCTTCTTTGTTTTAGGGAAGAGGGTTATTTTAGTAAGTGGGCTCGTCATTGGTTAGATGTTGGACGAACAACAAGGTTCGTCATGGATCTCTAGGGGGAATTCGGGGCGGGTCCTGTCATAAAGAAATTTGAGATCAGTCAATGGTCAACGATCAAGTTGAAGTCAACATGTTTGACCAATACAATAGACCGAGTCAAACTAGTTAGACTATAAGATAACTTAATGAATAAGTTATAATTCATAATTAAAAGTTAGTTGTGGAACTAGCTTTGACATTAGAAAAGTATTGGGCTTTAAATCAATTAAAGGAAAAAGGGAAAATTCCTAAAGACCCATTGGGCCCAAGAATAAGTGTTGTATAACAACACAAATTCATGGGACCAAGAGATATCCCACTACCCATGGTCGGCCATAGGGGAGATGTTTTTCCTGACCGAGTCAAACTAGGAGAAACTGATAATTGAGTTGGAGAAACCCGCAATCAATCCATCTACATAGAAAGGAGAAACAAGAAAGGAAAGGCTCAATGTTGAATTGAGATCTCATTAGTCCAGTATAGATCGAGTCCAGTTATAAAGGGAAGAATATCAACAGAATGGCTGAACAATATGGCCATTAGACTAAGGATAGGCTGGGGAGGCAAAGCAAAGACGTATCTTAAGGTTGTAACAAAATTGTTTGAACCTGGCATTGTCAAATTGCCGGCCATTGTCCGTGACGATGGTGTTAGGGATGCCGAAGTGACATACGATGTTTTGCTAAACAAAAGTTTCGATGCGGGCTGCAATGATGGTGGCTAGGGCCTCAGCTTTAGCCCACTTAGTGAAATATTCCACAGCTACAACAGCATACTTGACTTGGCCCTTGCCCTCAGGCATAGGTCCAATGAGGTCAAGTCCCTATTGGGTGAATGGCCAAGGACTGACCATGGTTGTCAATGGCTCAGTTGGAAGTTATGGGATGTTGGCAAATCACTGACACTTATCGAACTTCTGGGTGAAGGTCTGGCATCAGTGTGAAGTGATGGCCAAAAGTATCCCTGCTGAATGACCTTATGTGTTAGGGAGCGAGCGCCTAAGTGATTGCCACAGATGCCCTCACGAATCTCCCTTAGGACGTAGGTACCTTCATCTAGGGTCAGGCACCGAAGGTAAGGGAGGCTGAAGCCGCGCTTGTATAGGGCGAAATTAATGATCAAGTATTGAATAAAAAGATCACGAAACAGTCTGAGATAGTGTTTGGTTCTGGAAGAACTGAGTGATAGGGTCCATCCATGTAGGGCTGTGATCGATGACACAGATGAGTGGTGCCCGTGTGCTGGGCTGGTCCAAGAACTCGATGTGGATGTTGCGACCTATGCCCTGCTCCATCGCCGAGGCTAGCCTTGCTAATGCATCGGCATGGCTGTTCTCAAAGCGTGGCACCTGACCTATGAGATAAGCATTGAAAGTTGTAAGCAGATGGCGGGTATGTTGGAGGTAGGCTATCATGGAGGCGTCCTTGGTCGTGAAGTCCTGGTTGACTTGGTGGACAACAAGCTGCGAGTCGCTGAATATTTGGATTTGCTTGGCGCCCATCTCCTGGGCTAGCCGAAGGCCGGCTAAGAATGCTTCGTATTCGGCCTCATTGTTGGAGGCGTGGAATTTGAAGCGGAGGGCGTACTCAAGGACAACCTTGTCTGGGGAGATGAGAACGAGGCCAGCTCCACATCCATGGGCATTCGAAGAGCCATCCACATATAAGGTCCATAAGGGCTGAGTTAAGTCTAGGGAGCCGTTGCTGGCGACGTGGACCTGGTTCGAGGTAGGAGTAGGCTTGATTGCAATCTGAGGACTAGCCAGAGTATGGGGTTCGGTGAATTCAAATATGAAATCAGCCACGGCTTGGCCCTTTGTGGCTTGGTGGGGTTTGTAGTGGATATCAAACTCACCAAGTTCAATAGCCCACTTAACTAACCTCCCAGAAGTCTCTGGCTTTTGCAACACTTGCTAGAGTGGTTGGTTGGTTAAAACATGGATGGTGTGAGCTTAAAAGTATGGTCGGAGGCGTCTAGCTGAGACTACCAGTGCGAAAGCAAGTTTCTCAATGTCTGGGTACCGAGTCTCCGCATCCTGCAATCCTTTGCTCACATAGTGCACCAGATGCTCAGCACATTCGTGTGGTCGAATGAGCACGGAGCTAGCCGCTGTAGCCGAGATAGAGAGATAGATGGTGAGGACATCCCCAGACTCAGGGGTTGACAATAAAGGGGCTCGGCTCATGTATGCCTTAAGCTCGCCGAAGGCCTGGTCACATTCGGCAGTCCAGGTAATGCTTGATTTGCTACCCTTAAGTGCCTTGAAGAATGGGGCGCAACGATCAGCGGCCTTAGAGATAAATCTGGTCAAGGCTTCGACACGCCCGATAAGGCTCTGAATGTCCTTGACCGTCTTGGGTATCGCCGTGTCTAAAATGGCCTGGATCTTCTCCGAGTTGGCCTCAATACCCCTTTGGCTAATCATGAAGCCAAGGAATTTGCCGGAAGCCACCCCAAATGCACACTTGGTGGGGTTAAGCCTCATCCGATACTGCTTCAAAATTGCGAACATAGCAGAGAGGTTGGGGATGTGCTAGTCAGCAGTGCGACTCTTGACGAGCATTTCATCAACATAAACCTCCATGGTGTTACCAATCAGTGGAGCGAAGATGCTGTTCACCAGACGTTGATACATAGCCCCGGCATTCTTGAGGCTGAAGGGCACAACTTTGTAGCAGTAAAGGCCACGATCAGTGATGAAGGATGTATGAGCTTGGTCCTCAAGGTGCATGAAGATCTGGTTGTACCCTGAGTAAGCATCCATGAAGCTGAGGAGGGCGTGGCCAGTTGTGGCGTCAACTAGCTGGTCAATGTGGGGTAGGGGAAACTATCCTTTGGGCAGGCCCGGTTGAGATTTGTGTAGTCTACGCACATGCACTAGCTCTTCCTTGGTTTACGTACCATTACCACATTGGCTAGCTAGGTGGGATAATCCACCTCCTTGATGAATCCAATGGTGCTCAGCTTATCCACGTCAGTCTTCATGGCCGAATGGGTCGGACGACAGGATTAATGCTAAGCCTATGGGAGATGACATCAGGTGATATGCCTGGCATATCGTTGTAAGACCGAGCAAAAACCTCAGAGTTAAGGCGGAGGAAGGCAACAAGATCAGAGCGAAGCTCTTGTGAGAGGGAGGTGCCGATCCTGACCTCGATCCGGGATGTCCTCATGGAGAGTGACCAGTTCGAGGTCCTCCACAGGTTCGGCCTGTTGGGTGGCAGATTCCTCCCTAGGGTCTTTTGGGAGCTCAGTGCCAGCTTAAGGTGGGGTTGGGGCCCGGGTTACCGCTAGGGCCTCACCCTTATGTTGGCGATTGGTAGACTTTACTGCCGAAGAATAGCAGCTTCGAGAGCCAAGTTGATCGCCGCGCACCGTGCCCATGCCATGGGGTGTAAGAAATTTCAACAGTAACACATGTGTGGAAATGAAAACCTTCATCTGGGCCATGGCAGGGCGCCCAAGGATGACGTTGTAGGCTGTGGGGCAATCAATAATGAGGAAGGGAGTGGTGACCGTCGTCCACTGGGGTGTTGCTCCAATAGAGATACGGAGATGAATACTCCCAATAAGCTGGACCACATCGCCCGCAAAAGCTTACCAAGGGAGTGACGCTTCGGTTGAGCAAATGAGACGGGACCTGGAGCTCGTTGAAGGCATCAGCAAACATCACACTGACCGAGCTGCCAGTGTCTACCAAAATGCCCCCAACGTCAAAATTAGAGATGTCGGCGTGGATAATGATTGGGTCATCATGAGGGAGGATAATGCCACGCTCCTCCTCCTCACAAAAGGTAATGGGGGCCCAGCCTGTTTTTTGTGTCTTCGGCAGGCGTCCCTGCTCAGTGCTGAAGACTTGGTGCGCATAGGTAGAGCGGACATAATGTTTGATGGAGTTGTTGGAGGTTTCAGCCATGGTAGGGCCACCACTGATGGTTGAGTTCATGTTGATCTGTCGTTGGTGATGGTTAGGTGGGGGTGGGAGGTTGTGCACGTATTTATCCAGTTTCCCCTCACGAATAAGTCCCTCAATGATGTTGCGCAAGGCAACACAAGATTCGGTATCGTGGCCACTGAACTGATGAAAGCGACAGAAGACACCTGTGTTAGGCATAGGCTTGCTGCCTGGTTTCCGGGGTAGAGGCTGGGGTATGATAGGTGCCTCGTGCACCAGGACATTCTCATAGGTAGTGTTTAGGGTGGTGAAGACCTCGAACCTGGGTTTGGGTAAGAGTGGGAATGGGGCCCGGTCATTTGTCCTGGGGGGTTGCTTCTACTAGACTGGTGGTGGTTGCCATGTCTGCCTCGCTTGTTATTGCTGAAGGTATGCTGGTAGCTATCCTTCCTATTGGGGTGCTGGGCACCCTAGGTGCTTGGTGTAGGGGCAGACTGTTGAGGTGGAGCTGAGATGGGTACTGAAGCAGGTGGAGGATCAGCAAAAGGATTACGCACCGGGGTGGCTGGGTTGCGCTTGGAGTTGAAGTACTCGGCCTTGGCGTGAACTGCTGCCTGTTTCATCAGCTCGGCATATGTGTTCCAATGGTTGCTGTGGACCAGGTACTGGAAGTTGGACTCTCGGAGGCCACTCTTGAAAGCACTGAAGGCGGCACGATCATCAGTATCTGGGCAGTGGGAGTATTCCTGGCTGAACCTGGCTACATACTCCCGAAGGGGCTCGTCCTCACCCTGTCTAAGCATATATAGGTCATCCGCTGAGTAGAGGCGATCAGTCTGGATCATGAAATGGTCCAGGAAAGCCTGCTTCAGACTGTCAAATATGTTGATGGTGCCGGGATTCAGCCTGTAAAACCAATTCAGGGCCGCGCCACTGAGAGTGGAAAGGAAGAAGAGGCACATGCCTTCGTCAGTGAGGCTCTTGCACCCCAGGGCAGACTGGAAAGAATGTATGTGGGTGAAAGGATCCTCCGTGCCAGTGTAGAAGGCGATGCGGAGTGGCTGGATGTCCTTCTCCTGGTGGTAATTAAGGATGTGTTCGGTAAAGGGCCCAGGTCGTGGCTTTGCCCAGAGGGGTTGGTGGTTGCGCTGCTGCTCGCTCTCCAGGCGCCAGACTTTCTCAAAGAGAAGCCTCATTGCCGGGTCAGTATGAAGGAGAGTCTTAGTGTGTAGGTGGTCATGGGCTGGATAAAGTTCTTCGAACACCTCGGTGTCATAAGACTCGTAGTCTTTTAAGTAATCCTGCCCCCAGTTCTCCGAGTCCCTATACCTTCTCCAGGAGGTGGTTGGGTAGGCTTTGGTGGGGGGCCTAGGTGTATCGCCTTTGGGTCTTGGAGATTAACGAGGATAAGAGGGGGTTCCGTCTGACGGTTCAGGATACGGTCCCTACAATCCCTGTAGACCTTTGTTGGTTCATAGGGCCTGTTCCTCGACGGGGAGATGCGGAGGAGCTGCGCCTTGGTCGTCTCCGGATAGAGGGGGCCTTTACCCTTGCTGGGCCTAGGCTGGATTGGGACACTGTGGTGGGAGTGCTCTGGCTGGTTTGGCTGGGTACGCTCAGGTTCTCGGGTAAGGCTACGTTGGGAGCCCTGGGCTTGATTCATCTCCCAGTTACGCTTCAGTGTGCGGTAATCCGGCTCGAGCTCGACATTTTTAGCATGAAGATGGTCATCTTCTCGGACATCTTGGTTACACTGGCGCGAAGGCTCTCCAGTTCTGCCTGGAGATTGGCATCTGCTGAAGGTCTCCTCTAGGAGGTTACCCCATGGGGGGTATGGTGCTGAGTCCTGTGGCTATCCTCAGTAGGCATAACTGAGTATGGAGTGAAGAAAAGGCGACGGGGCCGGATAGGAGAAGGAGCCAGCTGGGCTGGTAGAGAAAAATGGGATTCAAGTATCGATTCCCACAGACGGCGCCAAATTGTTGATACTCTTTTTTGATATAAAGAAACTTGTTGATGCTCTTTTTCGGAGAGGGTCAACTTAGAGAAAAGGAGATTTGCCTTCAGCAGGGAAAGGGCCTGGACCTTCAATAAAGGCTAGCATGCAGAAGAAAAAATAGGAGAAGCAGTCGTTAAGCTTCGGACACCGGTGTGGTGCCGGCCGAAGGCTCTCCAATACTTAAGTCAGCTAAGTGGGTAACTTTAGTAGAGTAATAGTAAAAGGTAAGAAAGTAGTTACCCTTTTTACTAGGGTATTGTGCCCTTTTTATAGGGAAGTGAAAGTGGGAGGTTGGTGTAGATTTCCGATGTGGAACTTTGTGCAAGTCGCTGCAGTGGTGACACTTGTCATGGAGATTAGGTTTAGCAGTTGGGAGTTTCGGCAGGTGCTTGGCACCTAGGAAGAGTGTCTTCCTTCGACAGGGGAGAAGGCGTGTCTGCCTTGGTGCTAGTTGTTTTTGACGTGGTTACTACAAACTTATGCGGAGAGTGGAGTTATAGATACCATTGTAGTACACTACCAAATAATAAGTCGATAAATGTATCTTTATCGTCATTGTACATTGATTTAATATGGCGGTATTTTGTAACATACCGACGTGGATTCTTTTGAAATTATACGATGCTGAACACAAAAATATGGTTGTGTTTATTAAGGAGTAAAAACGGCAACTGTTGTTGCACACCATCGTCATTACTTTCTACGCCGGTGGTATCATAGCTTCTGCCGTTGTTTTTGGGCTCAGAGTTTAACTCAGAAGAAAACCTTTTCAATAAGACGACGCTTTTTTAATTTGAGGTGTCGTTTTTTAAAAACACCCATTGGAATCTCCATTTTTCAGTTGTTTATGTTACTCATACGGCTGTTTTATATCACCGTCATCTTTTAAAATACAACGACGTTTTTTCGATCTACCGTCGTTGTTTTCTGGTCATCTTTTTCACTTTTTGTAGTAGTGATGGTTTTCTTTCCACCAATCTAGCAAATTAAACCCAGCATTTTTAGGATTCTTAGGAGGCTCTAACAAATATTTATCAACTTCATTCCCAATTTGAACCACATGTTTCTCTTTTCTTGATCTCATAAATTTTTCAAGCCTTTCATCACTGTCAACAATAATTGTTTCCCTTGCACTTTTGAAATTAGCCTGCACATAAGCTTGGGTAGCAGCTGGATCTTCTTTCTTGTATGCCTCGTCCAACTTCATTACAAGATCCTTTACCCCACTTATCATCACATTAACTTTGAAAGCATCCTCTTCCAAATCACCAAAGCTAAAGTGGACATAATCCACTTTGTAACGGGGATGAAGAACCACAGTCACTATTAGGAGTTGGTTCACATCCCCAATATTACCCCAATACTTGTCATACTTGGATTTCATTGAAGTGGCCACCTTTTTCAGAAAAGGATCCTCACTTGTCATCATTTTCTTCAAGAGATCAACAATATAGCATATCTCATGGAAGGCTACATGGGAAGTTACTGTCTTATAAGCACTAAGCTTCAAGGTAGCCTCATAAAACCTTTCAAGAACTTCACCAAAACCTTTGCATATTCCCTATCCACTACACTTGGGGGACTCAATTTTGTTCTTAAACTCCCTTGCGTTTCAAGCCTTTTTTTATTTTATTTTTGGCCTTTTATCCTCACAGTGTCCAAGGGTTTCCTCAAAGTAAGATGTAAAGTTTGAGTCCTCCTCTTCCAACCTCTCAAAACCTTTTTGCAATTTTAAGGCGGCCTCTAGCATGTCATAGGTTGAATTTCACCTTGTTTTACACTCCAAAGGCAAATGACCTTTGCTATCAATCTTTTGCAACATCAAACATTGCCTAAACTTGTCCAATCAAGACGGTGAGGATCTTGTATG